TATAACACGACTGGGTTTAATCCAAGCTAAGCCTAAACGTCATTTTTTTAAACACTTGCTAAAATAAATACGTTAAGCTACGTTACCCCATTTCTGATGAAGGGTTATTTCAAGCTTTTAAATAGCTTTATATAACGAATCTAGGCGTGTCTATTTTTTTTATACTGCTAAAACTGCAGCATCCTATCTACACATCGGGGTGCGCATGCGTGGATAGTGCCTGCTGTCACAATGGGGTAGGGCAGGCTTGCTATCTATTCTTCTCTTTTTAATCTTGGCTGTCGTATGTCATTACCCTGATTTTATGTTCTGTGATGGGCAATCTGATTGCACAGAAATAACTCATAAAAATAGCAACGAAATTTTATTCTTAAATTCATTCATATAGTAATACACACACACATACACACACACACACATATATATATATATATATATATATATATATATATATATATATATATATATATATATATATATATATATATAAAATACAGCATGAACCTTGTATATTTGTGTGTGTGTTAGTGTGTGTATGTAAAACAAAAAACGAGCAAGTCCATCTATATAAATGAATATATCCCAAGGCGACGGGTTCGATATTGACGAAGGGAGAGGGGGAATATAAGAGTTCATTTAGAACTGGGAATCTGGCTTTGAAGTGTGTTGTCGCCCAACGTTCTGTGTGTGTTTGTATGTGTGTGTGTGTGTGTGTGTGTGTGTGTTCCCCCAATGTGCCCCCATAGTGCTCGCCTCCGTGTGTTTTAATGAAATGCTAAAATTAGAATCCTGGTTTTTCAAGCCCCCCCCAGCCCCACCCCCACCCTAACCAGTTAACTATCGATCTTCCCCCTACCCCCTTCACCCGCTTTCATTTACCCCCCCCCCCTCTCCATCCTTCATGCGTTTTTTGCCCTCTGCCAGTCTTTTTCTTTCCCCCCCCCCCAATTTCAAGTCAATTTACTGATGTCACTCCCCCACCCCCACACCCCGACCCCCACATGTCAGCTTTACGAGATTACATTGCTACAGTGTCTGAACGATTACATTGTATGACGCCATCGCATTACGCCACATGACCACGTGATCAGCTAACGCGCGGTTCTCAAACACCGAATACACGTCTCCTCTCTCTTTAATGTATTTAACGACTTGTCATTTGGTATCTTACCGTAGAAAAAAAGTACCCTCTTTCACCATTTCTATTATTGTATATAATTATCGCACATTTAATTTTTTAAATATAATTTTTTATATAATTTTTTTATGAAAATCGCATCGCGAATAAAGGGAAATAATTAGAATTTGAAATTTTTAAAAAAAATCCAACCGTGTTGACAAGGGCAATTTTATACAGAGCAAGGGGAAAGAAGCGAGGTAATCGATGGAAAGAAAACCTTCGCCCTCCGTAATTGCCTGCTCTTTTTTCTTCGCCCTCACACACGCCTTGCGTGAAAGTCCAGAGCGTGTGATTTATCGCCCTTGGTTGTCAATTAGCCAAATTTTGATGATCAGATTCCGAGAGTTGGGGGATATTGGAGAGGTCATGATGAAATCCTGGGATAGAATTATCCTGATTTTTTGTGGGATATCTTAGAGTGTAAGGAAAGATTTGGGGGGCGGGGAGAAATAGTAGAGATGGGAGGGGGGGATAGAAGATAGTTGGGTATTAATTTATCATATTCACGATCTTTTGAAATGCTAATGTAATTAAATATGCAGGCGACCCCGCTCAGCTGAGGTCATGTGTAGGAAGAGGTCATGGGGTTGGGGGGGGGGGGGTGGAAAGGCGACTGAGTATTTAGTAGACCACGCGCTTACACAATCGCAGGAATATAACTCAGAAAATTATTTAAAAAAAAATAATAAATGAGTTCATATGCCGAGGTCACAGAAATAAGTGAACTCTACTTCACTTGCCCCATAGACCGTCAGGTTTGAAATGGAAACTTTTACTTACTTTCATATAACAAAAACGTATTCTTAAAACAAGAGCAACATAAATCTTCAAGATCTTAATTCGTACAATTATTTTCTTTTTTTTTTAATTTTAATGCGAAGTTCAACAATACAAGCACTAAAACAATCACAGGAATATAACTAAGACATTAGCTATTTCTATAATTATATAGATCTATACATTAAAACATTCTTTAAACAAGAGCAATATTATTCTTACGAGATCTTAACATCACTTCATACAAAGGCTGTAGTATTATTAATTTTTATGCGAAGTTCTACCGTAAAAAGCGGAAGGTTATTTTTTTCATGGTCCGGTATTGATTAAGATGGCCTCAAAGAAACGACGAAATGTTCGTTGATTAAATCGATGAAAGGAGGCTGGGAAGATTTAATGAGGGAGACATTCGCTGGAGTACATATCTGAAGAATAATTACCTCCCCTCCATTCCTTCACCACCCTACCCTCGCTTTCATTATAACGTAGTCCGTCATAATTAGAATTTTTTCCTTCCTTTTCAAAAAGCTGCTCGTAAAGGGAAATAATTCTTTGCCCTGGCCAGTTTTATTTAGACCTGGTGCCAATCTGGCCGGTAAACGAAACATGGCGGCAAAGTTTCAGGGTGTTGCAAAAGTCAAACCTTCTCCTGTTGTTTCTTTATTGACTTTTGTTTTATTTCTACAAACAAATTAATTGTTACTAGATTTTACGAAAACGTTATACAATAAATTTCTATTTTTATTTTTTAAATATTTAAAATGTAACATGTATATCATCAATCTCCCATTTGCGACTGTCCTATTTATGGAATTAGAAACTACGTTATGAAAAAAAAAGATTTATGTTCAGCTTTAAAACGAGTTATTTGAATAATCACACATATAATCAATCCGAAAGTAATATGACCTAAAGGTAAAAAAAAAAAGGAAAAAAAAAAACCAACAAAAAACGCAATAGTTGACGAAAGTTGTCAAAGTAGAACATTCAAGTGCGGGGGGACGGGGAGGAACGCTGCGGGTGATGGTTGGAAGAAGAAACTCAACAAAGATATGTTGTTTTTTTTATATATATGTTTGTACGTGTGTTTATACTAAATATTATATATTATATATATAAATACACATACATACGTACATACATGCATATATAAATATATTAATACATACATACACATAAATACATCAATACACACTCATACATAGATATATACGATTACAGAACGTATTAAATAAACCAACGACCGACCGCCGTATATTCCTGAACTAGGCCAATCCAGGATAATTTGAGAGTGTGTTCCGACTTAATGTCTCTGCCTGCCGACACTAAACCTATAATGGGCTTAGACACACGTCTCGTTACTCTTCATTTGCAGAACTTTTCGGGAATGTTCTGCTACACTAGGAAATACGATATTGATTGATGCTTATCTTGATAAGTGTGGAAATATGGACTGCAGCAAGTCTTGCTCTCATACTTAATTGAACTAGTTTTTCTCTTGTGCTACAAAATTACTTTTTTTTAAAGATACAATTTCAATTATTAGTGTCGTAATTTTAAACTTTATTTTTAAATGTATTTAATTTCGTATATAATTGTTTTCCTTGTGCAAACATTCAGGATACACAACTCTTTTGTTCTTGAAAACTCGTTGTAATAAATTGAGTTGCTTCCCTTTGTCCGCGATCTTATTTTGCTTCCACCGTTAAACAAGGGAATTATCGATTTATTTTTGTCTTTACCGTCTCTTAGCTTCACCGCACACTCTTTCATTATTCCCTCCCCTTGGTGTCTCTTTCTTCTTTCGTTTCGTCAATAAAATCAATGGCGTTCTGTCTGGGATATTACATTTCGCTTTGCCCTTATTTCCTCTCTTCCTTATTTAGCTTTAGCCCAACCAGCCAATTTGCCATCGTCTTGAGTTCCTGTATTTCTCCCCTAATAACCCACCCCCACCCCTTTCCCTTCTATATCAAATAATTTTCCACCTCGACTTTTCTTATTTACATATTAACACGACAGTATTCACCCCCATCCACAGTACCCCCTTCCCTTTAGATCATGAACCCAACAAAACAAAGACGCTTAAAATGGAATAATCAATAACTCCTAGAGTTCAGTGTCATTTATACACTAAATTTCCTGTATCTATGTATATGTTATGCATATAGCGTTACTCCGTTTGTTACTATTAAAATTTGATCAGGTTTCTTTATGGCTGTATAAGATTTTGACCAGTTTTCTTAATGGATGTATAAGACTTTGATTATATCATGTTTTACTTATATCAGTATATATTGAGTAGCAGGTCGTGGGTAATTGGAGGTTGTTTTTTGTTGATTTTTTTTTAGGTTGAGTTTTTTATGTTTTTGATGTTTTCAGGCTTTTGATATGGTCTGGTTTTTTAAAATTTGGATGGTTTTGACATATTCAAGATTTTGAAACGGTCGATTTTTTCATATTGTCTGGTTTTGCTCATACTAAAATTGTGCATAAGATTTTCTGATGTATCTTTACATATATCTGATATTTCTTGGATCAAGTCTTGCTTGTATCACTATTGATATAATATCAGGTTTTATATCAGGTTTTTATATCAGTGTTATTTTTTTGGTACCAGGTTCTGCTATAAGTTGTGTCATTAATTCCACAAAGGCTTTTGATTTTTTCTGACTAGCCTATATTACCAATACACATTTACTTTATATTATGTATAAGCCTAAACATTAATATATAACATGAATACGTATAATAATCGAATGCAGTATAATTGTATCATTGTAAATGTCCCTCGGGCAGATGAGGCTCGTTAGCTGGGGACAGCCGCTCTTCTAGGAGAGACAACTTCAAAATCTAACAACTGCTGCCTTGTTTGTTCTTTGTCATGGTTGATAAATTCGAACAAAGTCTCGAGTTCAAACCCACTGGCAGATAAATCTCGATCCCCTTCAACACTAATAATTAAGAACGAAGAAGAAGAAGAAAATGTCCCTTCAGTATGTCTAAGGCTAACGTATTTTCCTCTCTGTTTTTCCCCTCACAGAAGACCGAAAACTGTTTGTTGGTATGTTGAACAAATCCCAGACCGAAGAAGACGTGAGACAACTCTTTCACTCCTACGGAACCATCGAGGAGTGCACCATCCTGAGAGACCAGAGCGGCAACAGCAAAGGTGAGTAGTGTTTATGTGCTCATCTCACGCGTGTGTCCGCTGATAGGTCGAGGTGGGACGTGGTGGTTCAAGGAGTGGGCGCTCACACATGTTACATAATAGTCAGGTTCTAGAGACAGATATTTGTGTTTATGCTGTTGTGTATACCACAGCAATTGTCAAACGAATGCATGTATATATATATAAAATATATAAACAAGGATAAATTGAATAATTTCTTTTTCAAATACAATTACTTTTAATATACACATTATGGATTTATCTATCTATCTATCTGTCTGTCTGTCTGTCTGTCTGTCTGTCTGTCTGTCTGTCTGTCTGTCTGTCTGTCTGTCTGTCTGTCTGTCTGTCTGTCTGTCTGTCTGTCTGTCTGTCTCTCTGTCTGTCTGTCTGTCTGTCTGTCTGTCTGTCTGTCTGTCTGTCTGTCTGTCTGTCTGTCTGTCTGTCTGTCTGTCTGTCTGTCTGTCTGTCTGTCTGTCTGTCTGTCTGTCTGTCTGTCTGTCTGTCTGTCTGTCTGTCTGTCTGTCTGTCTGTCTGTCTGTCTGTCTGTCTGTCTCTCTGTCTGTCTGTCTGTCTGTCTGTCTGTCTGTCTGTCTGTCTGTCTGTCTGACAAAGAGAGAGAGATAGTTACAGAATATATATATATATATATATATATATATATATATATATATATATATATATATATATATATATATATATATATATATATATATATATATATATATATATACACTTTCCTCATGAACCTATGCATGTAAAGCCTATCCGGTCCAATGCTCTACTGACACAATTACGTAAGACATGCAACACGTGAATGTAAACCGTAATATGGATCTCATTTCATCAGCTCAGCTCCGTTTAATTAAAGAGATGACGTCATCGTGACGGGACCACCTGGCACCCATTAAATCAGACGACTCCCCCCGCCCCTTCCCAAAAAAAAATTCCAAAATAGCGGATAACATTTATTGAAAACTTGATCCTCTAATACCCTTTTTTCTATCCCCACCCCCCCCCCCCCCTACCCTGCACTCTGCCTCAGCCCACAAACCCCATAAACCTCTTTCCACCCCCACCCCCTTTCAGTCCGCCACACCCCCCTTTTACCGTTCACCCCCCTTCTCTCGTAAGCCGATGAAGCCACTTAAAAGAACGGCCCGTGTCTTAAATTAGGCCCGACTAATCGTCTTAGTTAAGGCAGATTAAACCTCATTAGCCGTCGGTTGTTGTTACCTTTTTTTTTTTACTTCCGTCGAAAAATAAAATCAATAAATCTTTGTTGAATTGTGGTTGGTTTATATATCTCCACACCCCCATCCCTCTCACCGACATATACTTCATACAATCATATACACACACACATCTGCTCCTAAGCAATTTGTATGTTTTGTTATTCCCATCACCCCCGACCCCCCTACCCCATATGTGGCTAATGAAACTTTTTGTTACTATATGTTAAGAGACCCTTTAGTTAGTATGAGCTTTGTTTTACTTAGCATACGGTTACCAGCCTAACCGGCTATCTTTTCAACCGGTTATTCGTTTAACCGGTTATCTGTTTGTACCTTAAACCCTTTGTACCTATACACAACCAAAATCCAACATACGACTCAAATCATCTCATACATACCACCAAACTCTTACTATATATATATATATATATATATATATATATATATATATATATATATATATATATATATATATATACACTTATGTATTTATTTATTTATTTATTCTTGTATATGCATCATCCACCACTTACCACTTTTCTATATACCAACCCACTAAATTCTTAACCCCCATCCCCATACCTTCCCTAGAGACCAATTGACAATCAAACCACTGTATGCAGCATCTAATGGTAAAATAATTAAATAAACGATTTATGTTAAATTTATTCCGTATTGTTTCCCCCCCCCCCCTCCCCCCCACATGAACATACAATCGACTCGTGTGTCAAATAAAATCAATTATGCTAATTCTGCGCCTAATTTCGTATTTACTTTGCAATTAAAATGACGACGTGACAAAAAAAAAAAGAACTCTCGCATACGTAACTCTAAAGATAAATTATCTCGAGTTATTTCCCTTTCTGTTCTCCACAATACGAAGTTTCTGTTCATCATACACAAATACAATCAGGAAAGGGTGGTGGGCGGTTGTATTATCTCAGTTTATTGTTTTAAATTTCAAAGGTTCTGTGTTTCATATTTCCAGATCTCACGATTATTTGATCTTTCAGTAAAAAAATAAAATAATTATTCAGCTCTATGTAACTTGAATATGCATCTTTTTTAAAATGTTGGATAATGAATTCACACGACTTAAATTCGCTGAATTGTAGCTATATCTCAACATCAACATATTGATCGTCGTCGCTATTTAAATAAAAACCAATTGCTTATTACTATCGTTACAGATATTGTATTCTCTAGCTTTGAAGATATTCCCCATCAAATTCTTGATGCATTTTCAGCACTGATATGCCCCCGTAAATTTTTTCTTGTAAATATTTGCTCGGAATTTTTTCCCTCCAAATTTGATTTTTTTTTTTTTGGACTCGACCAGCCTGGAGTCGAACCCAGGACAAACACGTGTGTTTATGTTGCGTGAACGATTAATAAATATTATCCCCAGCATCATAAAGACAAATAATTAGACGAAAAGGGGAGAGAAGCGAAGGTCAGGGGACGCAATCGCTGGATCAGATAACGAAACCACTGGGGACTTAATTCTTGTAGAACATGAAAATGTTAACGGTTATGATGTTGAACATGAAAATGTTAACAGTTCTGTGTAGAACATGAAAATGTTAACAGTTGTGATGCAGAACATGAAAATGTTAACAGTTATGACGTAGAACATGAAAATTTTAACAGTTCTGTGTAGAACATGAAAATTTTAACAGTTCTGTGTAGAACATGAAAATTTTAACGGTGATGATTTAGAACATTAAAATGTTAACAGTTCTATGCAGAACATTAAAATGTTAACAGTTAGATGTAGAATATGACAATGTTAACAAGTCAAGTCAACAGTTATTATGTAGAACATGAAAATATGAGCATTTACGATGTAGAACATGACGATGTTAACATTTCTGTGTAGAGAATGAAAATGTTAACAGTTCTATGGGGTAATGGCAGGTTTTCGACATAGCCTCGAGTTCATGACCCAGATTTGAATACTTGATCAGTCTGACTACGCCGCGACCCGTTTGTCTATTTCTGGCATCTCCACCCCCCCCCCCCCCCCCCCCACACCCCCTGGAACTACCTCCCGTCTAATTAATTTTTATGTCTGCATCATTTTATTTTATTTTTTTTAATTTAAGAACGAGCTGAGATTGTAAAAGCCTCATGTAAAACATGTCGATAACTAATCAGTGCCTCATTTGTCGTCACCCCTCCCGTCTGGCAATGGAGTGAACCAGAGCCCCCCCCCCCCCTCCGACCACCAGCAGCACCCCCACCCACCCTTTCCTTCCTGCCTTACACACGTCTGTCTTTGAAAGTGGAGGACGGACCCAGATCACATGACTGGCAGTGATTGACACAACCCCCCTACCCCCATGACTTGAGAAGTTGACTGAACCTGACCCCCCCCCCCCACCCCCAAATAGTGATTGACCCAAACCCCCCTACCCCTCAAGATTTTGGAATTTTGACTGAGACTGATCCCCCCACACACCTTTAACTATTGCAGTGATTGTTACAGACCCCCCCCCCCCACCCCTACCCCCAAAACTGAACCCCAACTCTGGCAGTGTTTGTCCCAGACCCCCTCCCCCCCTCTCCCTTGTGTAGTGGACTAACCTCCCCCCTCCCTTGTGTAGTGGACTAACCTCCCCCCTCCCTTGTGTAGTGGACTAACCCCCACCCCCTCCCTTGTGTAGTGGACTAACCCCCACCCCCTCCCATGACCCGTGCAGTGGACTGACCCACATGCGCCACACGTCAGCGGTGACCTGGATACCAGACACCAGTTCTTGACCTCATTCCGTCTCTAACGGGGACATGTTGGCCGGTAGGGTGAGACGGGGGGGGGGATGGGGAACGTGGGGGGGGGGGGGGCTTTGTTATTTCCTTTAAAGAGATAGAAAAGCTTAAGTTGAGTGGGTCGTAAACACAGAATTTATTGCAGCGCAAAGATGGCGGATCTAAGACAATGCAACGTGTAGGAGTTAATGGGCAACAGGACTTAAGGGGAGCGAACCCGTGATTTTATATTTTTGTTTTGTTTCAGTAAAGTTTGTGAGTTTTATACTAATGTCTTACCGCATACAATATTAAAGAAAAAATAAGCCAAGTATAGAACTGGCTCATTAAGTTATAATTTGTGGGTTTTATGTATTTAGTTCCACAATACTAATGTCTTACCTCATACAATATTAAAAGGAAAAAAGGGCCAAGCATAGAAAAGTATAGAACTATGTTGTAAATGGCGGATGATCCATTAGGAGTTGAAAAAGACGTGTTAGCTCTGTTTTCTGACAGGGATTTGAACTCGGGTCGTCGCCTGGTACTTCTTGCTGTAGTCTACTGTACATAGCATGTATAGGCGTAAAAATTGATTGATTTATACTAGTTTAGTAGTATTGTGTTAGACATCAACATTAAAAATACAATAATGATCAGGCATAATGTTAATGTAATAAAGGGAGGCTACACAAGACCTTAAAGGGAAATGACTCGCACTTTATATATATATATACATATATATATATATATATATATATATATATATATATATATATATATATATATATATATATATATATATATATATATATATATATATATATATATATATCACTTTTTTTTTATTCGACTGTCAGTTTGGTTAAGATAAACTTGATTACATTTTTAAATTAAAACTTAATCAGAAATATACATTTTTTATTTTACCCCGATGAAATCCATTTTTTCCCCGTACAAATATATTTGTTTTTTTCAACGCATTAAATCAATACGCGTCCGTCTAAATTCATAATG